ATGGCTTCCTTGCTAGCCTTGGCGCTGGTGGCCCTGGCCGCCCGCGCAGGAGCATTTGCGGTTGAGGCCGAGCGCGCGCAGGTAGGAGCCATCGGTTGGACCTATTACGCCATAGGTTGCGGTGCTAGCCCGTATCTCCTGCACATGGACGAGAGTACCATGGAAGAGTGTGAAGCTGCGTGCGCAGGCATGTCAGCTTGTTATGGCTTCCAGCGCCGTGGTGACCAATGCTGGCTCGACGATGACGGTGACAACAATATATCTGGAAGGCTCGTTGGGCATTCGCCGACAACGAGGACGGCAGCCCAAGCCGCGTATTGCGCAGTGCGTTCGACGACCTCTCCCAGGTCATCTCAGACGCCCGGTCCGACGGCACATATCGGTGCCAATATGGATTTCGAATCAGATTTGGTCAGTGATTATATCTACATGGTGCCTTCGGGCTGGACCGGAGCAATTGCACCTTTGATTCGGTCTGGCAGTTTTGCTTGGGGTGGCACCGCTGCGGCAGAGGGGAACAATTTCCTCGGGCTGCAGGGGGGTCACGCATACGTGGAGCAGCATATTGCAAACCTGGCGGGTGGTCCATTTGCGCTGTCGCTTCAGCGAGCCGCTCGTCCCGGCGGCTTTTTCAACCCGAGTTTGACAGTGACTTTAAACAGTGTAGTGATGTACCAGGAAGTCGATATCAGTGATGCAGAATGGGGATTGGTATCAGTCGTTGTGAACGATAGCATGGCTGCATTGTTTGGCAACGCTGCGATTGGCGAACACTCCGGCACCTGGTGGAGACAGAACTGTGTATGTCGACGATATTCGGATTGTCGTGGCCCCGACGAGCAGCCCAACCTCCAGCCCGACATCGTCCCTGACGCCCAGCCCGACGAGCAGCCCGACGAGCAGCCCGACGAGCAGCCCGACATCGTCCCCGACGCCCAGTCCGACGCCCAGTCCGACCTCGCCCCCGACGCCCAGTCCGACGAGCAGCCCGACCCCCAGTCCGTCCTCGTCACCGACAAGCAGGCCGACGAACACCCCGACCTCCAGCCCGACTTCGTCCCCGACGCCCAGTCCGACAAACAGCCCGACGAGCAGCCCGACCTCGTCCCCGACGCCCAGCCCGACGAGCAGCCCGACAAGCACCCCGACGCCCAGTCCGACCTCGCCCCCGACGCCCAGCCCGACGAGCAGCCCGACCCCCAGTCTGTCCTCGTCACCGACAAGCAGGCCGACGAACACCCCGACCTCCAGCCCGACTTCGTCCCCGACGCCCAGTCTGACAAGCAGCCCGACGAGCAGTCCGACCTCGTCTCCAGCGCCGAGCCCGACGCCGGCAGCGCCACCTCCAGCGGGCGGAGCAGGTGCTGGAGCCTCCGCCGTCGGCGACCCCCACCTGCAAAACGTTCATTGCGAGCGGTTCGACCTGATGAAGGCGGGCAAGCATGTGCTGATCAACATCCCTCGTGGAATGAGTGCTGAAAACGCACTGCTTCGCGTGCAGGCCGATGCGCGCCGCTTGGGTGGACAGTGCGCGGACATGTACTTCCAGCAGATCAACGTTACCGGGTCTTGGGCAGAGGCCACGCAAGCTGGAGGGCTTCGTTACAGCGTATCGCAGTATGACGCCAAGACTCAGGAATGGGTTGCCTTCGGCAAGGTCGAGCTCAAAATCGTGCGTGGACGTACGGACAGCGGCCTCCAGTACCTGAACTTGTACGTGAAGCACTTGGGGCGAGCGGGCTTTGCAGTCGGAGGTCTACTGGGAGAAGATGATCGCGCGGACGTGACCACCGCTCCTGACGCCTGCTCTCAGCGCTTAGCCCTTAGAGCAGGGGCGCACCGCGACGGAGACCCAGAGGTGGCTTCGGTCGCAGTGGCAAGCTTCGCTTGACCATGATGGTGTGTTCGCTATCTTGATTTAGACAGCTTGTCCCCGGCCTCGGCCGCTGGCGACCGGCGACTCCGTCGGCTGGGCGTGCCACTTATGCGGGGCGAGCTGCCGCTGGTCATTTCTGCGTTCAGAGAAGAAGTGCGCCTCTTCTGCCTTGCCCTCCCTGCTGTGTGCACCCATTGATTTAGACAGCTTGTCCCCGTATCGGCCGCTGGCGACCGGCGACTCCGTCGGCTGGGCGTGCCACTTATGCGGGGCTAGCTGCCGCTGGTCATTTCTGCGTTCAGAGAAGAAGTGCGCCTCTTCTGCCTTGCCCTCCCTGCTGTGTGCACCCACTGATTTAGACGGCTTGTCCCCGCATCGGCCGCTGGCGACCGGCGGCTCGGTCGGCTGGGCGTGCCACTTCTGCCGTGCCAGCTGCCGCTGGTCATTTCCGCGTTCAGAGCAGAGAAAAAAAGATGGCCTCCTGACGTTCCAAGAGAGCCTCGAGACGCCCTCGAGAGGGCCTCAGGAGGCCAACCATTTTTACCCCCCTCCCCCCCCCCCCCCCCCCCCTCCCCCCCCCCCCCCCCCCCCCCCCCCCCCCCCCCCCCCTCTCCCAGGGTTTTAAAGGTTTTTCGGGTTCTCCCAGGAGGGCCCAGCACGGCCCGCGAGGGCCCAAATCGCACAGCCCCAGAGGCCCTCCAAAGGGGCCGAATACAGTCCAAGAGGGATCCCAGACGGCCCCAGAGGGCCCCAAGACGGCCCAAGAGGCACCAAGACAGTCCCAAGAGAGCCCCAAGAAGGTCCCAAGAGGCTCCCAAGAGACTTCCAAGGGGGCCCGAAGAGGCGGTGTTGGGACTTGGCTGCTTGGGCGTGGGGATTGGGCCGGCCCCAAGACGGCCCAAGAGTCCGGCCGCTGCCCTCGAGACCCCCGAGAGGGCCTCAGGAGGCCCAAAACCTGCTCACGCCTTAAGTTTTTTTCAATGTTTTTGGGGTTCTCGCCCTGCTTGGGCGCAGAAGGGACCCAGACGGCCCAAGAGGTCCCGCAGATCGTCCCGAGACGGTCCCAGAGGGCTCCCAAAGGGCCCGAAAACGGCCCAAGAGGGCCCCCCAGACGGCGCGCGAGGGCCCCGAGACGGCCCAAGAGGTCTCCAACATGTCCCCACGAGAGCACTACGAGGGCCCCAAGAGGCCCCCAAGAGAGCCCGAAGAGGCGGTGGGGCCTGGGCTGATTGGGCGCGGGGACTGGGCTGGCCCCAAGACGGTCCAAGAGGGCCAAAACGGCTCTAACAGGCCCGCAAAAGATCCCCAATGATCCCCAGAGGCGCCAAGTAACATCATGGCTCTCCACAGCGAGCGGTGACGTAACAAGCTCTGAACACCGAGTCTCCCCGGAGCGCAGTGACGTGAAGAGCGCTGCGCAGCAAGGCGCCCGAGAGCGAGCGGCAACGTCAAAGTCTGTGAACACCAGGGCTCACAACAGAGAGCGGAAACGCAACGAGCACTTCACGCCAAGGCTCCCAATATCGAAGGGTGCCATGAGCCATCTCGGGCACGTTCCTGCAGCGTCTTTCCGTTCCCGTGCCGGCCCGGGTAACGGAAAGAGCGAGGTACGAGTGATGACGTCCTTGCGTGGGGGGCGATGTCCTTCAGGGAGGGGCCCAGGGGAGGGGCGAGGGCTGGGAGTGCCAGATGCAATGGCCGCCCGGGGGTAGTTTTTTGTCCGCATGTTTTCGGATGGAGCGGCCCCCGGGCGGCCCCCATGGCCCGTTTCCAGGTATTTTTTCGAGCGAAGCGGCTCGAGGGCCCCAGGGCGTCCCAAGAGGGCCCAAACGGCCCAAATACGCCCCCGAGAGCCTACCGTTGCCTCCAGGCGGTTCCGTAACCATTTTGGCTCGAGGCCGTTTCGCATTAGTCAGCTTTGCCGTCTTCTACATGTCCTTAACGGTGTTTTGTTCGCTCGAGTACCGAACTGGCAGCGATGGCTCCCTTGCTAGCCTTGGCGCCGGTGGCCCTGGCCGCCCGCGCAGGAGCATTTGCGGTTGAGGCCGAGCGCGCGCAGGTAGGAGCCATCGGTTGGACCTATTACGCCATAGGTTGCGGTGCTAGCCCGTATCTCCTGCACATGGGCGAGAGTGCCATGGAAGAGTGTGAAGCTGCGTGCGCAGGCATGTCAGCTTGTTATGGCTTCCATCGCCGTGGTGACCAATGCTGGCTCGACGATGACGGTGACAACAATATATTTGGAAGGCTCGTTGGGCATTCGCCGACAACGAGGGCGGCAGCCCAAGCCGCGTCCTGGCATTGCGCAGTGCGTTCGACGACCTCTCCCAGGTCATCTCAGACGCCCGGTCCGACGGCGCATATCGGTGCCAATATGGATTTCGAATCAGATTTGGTCAGTGATTATATCTACATGGTGCCTTCGGGCTGGACCGGAGCAATTGCACCTTTGATTCGGTCTGGCAGTTTTGCTTGGGGTGGCACCGCTGCGGCAGAGGGGGGCAATTTCCTCGGGCTGCAGGGGGGGTTACGCATACGTGGAGCAGCAGATTGCAAACCTGGCGGGTGGTCCATGTGCGCTGTCGCTTCAGCGAGCCGCTCGTCCCGGCGGCTTTTTCAACCCGAGTTTGACAGTGACATTAAACAGTGTAGTGATGTACCAGGAAGTCGATATCAGTGATGCAGAATGGGGATTGGTATCAGTCGTTGTGAACGATAGCATGGCTGCATTGTTTGGCAGCGCAATTTCCCTGCGATTGGCGAACACTCCGACACCTGGTGGAGACAGAACTGTGTATGTCGACGGTATTCGGATTGTCATGGCCCCGACGAGCAGCCCAATCTCCAGCCCGACATCGTCCCTGACGCCCAGCCCGACGAGCAGCCCGACGAGCAGTCCGACGAGCAGCCCGACTTCGTCCCCGACGCCCAGTCCGACGCCCAGTCCGACCTCGCCCCCGACGCCCAGTCCGACGAGCAGCCCGACCCCCAGTCCGTCCTCGTCACCGACAAGCAGGCCGACGAACACCCCGACCTCCAGCCCGACTTCGTCCCCGACGCCCAATCCGACAAGCAGCCCGACGAGCAGCCCGACTTCGTCCCCGACGCCCGGCCCGACGAGCAGCCCGACTTCGTCCCCGACGCCCAGTCCAACCTCGCCCCCGACGCCCAGTCCGACGAGACGCTCCAGCCCGACTTCGTCCCGACGCCCAGTCCGACAAGCAGCCCGACGAGCAGCCCGACCTCGTCCCCGACGCCCAGCCCGACGAGCAGCCCGACAAGCACCCCGACGCCCAGTCCGACCTCGCCCCCGACGCCCAGCCCGACGAGCAGCCCGACCCCCAGTCCGTCCTCGTCACCGACAAGCAGGCCGACGAACACCCCGACCTCCAGCCCGACTTCGTCCCCGACGCCCAGTCCGACAAGCAGCCCGACGAGCAGCCCGACCTCGCCCCCGACGCCCAGCCCGACGAGCAGCCCGACAAGCACCCCGACGCCCAGTCCGACCTCGCCCCCGACGCCCAGTCCGACGAGCAGCCCGACCCCCAGTCCGTCTTCGTCACCGACAAGCAGGCCGACGAACACCCCGACCTCCAGCCCGACTTCGTCCCCGACGCCCAGTCTGACAAGCAGCCCGACGAGCAGTCCGACCTCGTCTCCGGCGCCGAGCCCGACGCCGGCAGCGCCACCTCCAGCGGGCGGAGCAGGTGCTGGAGCCTCCGCCGTCGGCGACCCCCACCTTCAAAACGTTCGTGGCGAGCGGTTCGACCTGATGAAGGCGGGCAAGCATGTGCTGATCAACATCCCTCGTGGAATGAGCGCTGAAAACGCACTGCTTCGCGTGCAGGCCGATGCGCGCCGCTTGGGCGGACAGTGCGCGGACATGTACTTCCAGCAGATCAACGTTGCCGGGTCTTGGGCAGAGGCCACGCAAGCTGGAGGGCTTCGTTGCAGCGTATCGCAGTATGACGCCAAGACTCAGGAATGGGTTGCCTTCGGCAAGGTCGAGCTCAAAATCGTGCGTGGACGTACGGGCAGCGGCCTCCTGTACCTGAACTTGCACGTGAAGCACTTGGGGCGAGCGGGCTTTGCAGTCGGAGGTCTACTGGGAGAAGATGATCGCGAGGACGTGACCACCGCTCCTGACGCCTGTTCTCAGCGCTTAGCCCTTATAGCAGGGGCGCGCCGCGACGGAGACCCAGAGGTGGCTTCGGTCGCAGTGGCAAGCTTCGCTTGACCATGGTGGTGTGTTCGCTATCTTAATTTAGACAGCTTGTCCCCGGCCTCGGCCGCTGGCGACCGGCGACTCCGTCGGCTGGGCGTGCCACTTATGCGGGGCTAGCTGCCGCTGGTCATTTCTGCGTTCAGAGAAGAAGTGCGCCTCTTCTGCCTTGCCCCCCCTGC